TTCAGCTAAGATCCATCTGACATCAAGAATGGTATTCCTCATTTCATGTTCTCGTCTGAAACTGACTTGGATTTTGTTGATGTCTTCTGCAATAGTTTTTAAATTACCTTCAACAAAATTTTACTTGCATGCGATATTAATGATATTATTTGATGATTTCTGCATTCTGTTGGGTCACCTTTCTTTGGAATGGGTACAAATAAAGACCTCTTCCAATCAGTTGTTCAGCTAGCTCTCTTTAAAGTTTCTTGTCATAGATAAGTGAACACCTCTAGTGTTGCATCTGTTGGTTGAAGCATTTCAGTTTGTATTCCAAAAATTCCTGGAGTCTTGCTTTCAATCAATGCCTCCAGTGCAGCTTGGACTTATTCCTTCAGTGTCATTGGCTCTTGATCATATGGTATCTCTTGAAATGGCTGAACATCAACGAATTCTTTTTGGTACAGTGACTCTGTGTATTCCTTCCATCTTCTTTTGATGCTTTCTGCATCATTCAGTATTTTGACTATGTTGTTGTGTTATTAAGTGTTGTCAAGTCGGTTTCAACCCATAGCGACCCTGTATAGGGTTTCTGAGGAGGAGCTGGTGAGCTTGAACTGCGCCGACCTTGCAGTTCAAACGGTTTAGCAGTCTGGCGCATTAACCCACAGCGCCACACCAGGACTCCGTTTTGCCTATGGTTGTGGTAATGTGCCGTGGAGTTGGTTCCAACTTATAGCGACCCTGTGCAGGGTTCCTGAGGCTATACATTTTTACGGGAGCAGAAAGCCTCATCTGTCTCCCGCGGAACAGCTGATAGTTTCGAACTGCTGACTCTGAGGTTAGCAGCCCAATTCATAACCACTATACTACCAGAGACTCCTTCAATATTGCAAATCAAGGCTTCAGTTCTTTCAGCTTGAGAAATGCTGAGCATCTTCTTCCCTTTTGGTTTTCTAACTCCAGGTCTTTGCACATCTCAATGTCTAGCTCCAGGACTTTGCACATTTTCAATCACAGGTATGGTGGGGTTTCCATAGGCTGATTTTTGGAAGCAGATCACCAGTCCTTCCTTTTAGTAGATCTAAGACTGGAAGCTCCATCAAAATTTGTCACTATGGATAACCTACTGGCATTTGAAATACCAGTAACATAACTTCTAGCATTACAGCAACATGCAAGCTGCCACAATATGACAAACTGACAGATGGAAACCCCTTGGCTTGTAAGGCACACAAATACACAGTGGCTGCGATAATGATCTTGAGCATACCGATGATGGTGAAGATGGTGCAGGATCAGCATGGCTTCAGTCTGTTGTCCATGACGTCACCATGAGTCAGATTCAACTCAATGGCAATTAACTAGTATGGAGTCCTGGTGTGGCTCTGCGGGTTAATGCGCTGGGCTGCAAGGTTGGTTTGAACCTCAAGGTTGGTGGTTCAAGCTTACCAGACACTCCCTGGAAACCCTATGAAGGGTCACTATGAGTTGGAACCGACTCAACAGCACTTAGCAACAACAACGACGTGGTGGAGAAGGGAGATGTCTGCAGAGGAGTGTATTGATTCAACAAACATTTTCTGGATTTTTTTTTTATGTACATACCAGGAGTTGAGGAGTCCTGGTGCGGCACTATGGGTTAATGCATTGGACTGCAAAGTTGGTTTGAACCACAAGGTCGGCGGTTCAAGTTCACCAATTGCTCCTCAGAAACTCTATACTGGGTCACTATGGATCCAAACCGACTTGACCGCACTTAACAACAACAACAACAACTAGGAGCTGGAGACAAAAATGAAAGCATTACAATTCCTGTCCTCTTTGGAAGAGCTCACATTTTGGTGGAGACAGACACACATAGAGAAAATCCCATACAATTAACAGAGCAAAAAGAGAGTGGCAAATGAAGTAATGGGTGATGTAGATGACACTGTGGGTACACACAGGGCACCAAGTCCAGCCTAGAGGAGTTAGGGAAGCCTCCCCAGAAATGCAAGCTCCCAGTTGAATCTGGCAGGCTGAGTGGAGTTTGCCAAGCATGGAAGAGGAGGATCAGAGAATGAGAGGAAGGGCTTGTTCTTGACAGGATGAGGGTTGCACAGATACACCACATTAATAATCCAAGATCTAATCCAAGATCTGTGCTTTATAAAGCCACTCTGGCCACAGTGTGGATTAGAGAACAAAAAGGGAAAGACAAGGTAAAAAGACAGTATTTCCAAAGTCAAGTAATTTCAGCAGAACTCTGATGATTTGCACTATATTTATGTGCCACATGTAACGTTATTTACTTAAGATTGCTCTTACATGTACTCACATTTAAAATTTAAATAATTTATTTCACCAGGAATTTAGTGAATAAATAACAAAGTGTCCATGCCTCCAGTGTTACATATAGAGAATAGAAGAAACTAGGTATGCCAGAACAGGGTAGCAAGAGTGAGTCTATGGTAAATGATTTGAGACACAAAGGGCCAAGTGAACAGGGAGCAGGAAGATGGTGAGAAGAGATGAGGAGCATAGGAATAAGGGCACCAATGATCTCTTTTTGGGGGTCAAATTCTTGTTTTTGTGGACCAGCATTTGACCCAGCTGACAGCTCTTTCCTCCTTGTTTCACTTTCTTCTTTTGGAATCCATGTTTTAATTTTCCTCTACCTCACTGATTTCTCCTTTTCTGTTTTCTCTGCTGGTTCTTCTTCCTTTCCTCTATGTTAGAAGATTCAGGGCTCAGTCTTGTCCTATTCTTTTTCTCCACTTACTGCCCTGGTGATCTCATTCCATTTCAAGGCTTTAAATACCACCTATATGCTGATGGGAGTCCTGGTGTAGTTCTGTGGGATAAGTACTAGACTGCAAGGTTGGTTTAAACCACAAAGTTGGCAGTTCAAATCTACTGCTGCTCTGCAAGTATCCCATACAGGGTCTCGATGAGTCCAAACTCACTTCACAGCACTTAACAACGACAGCAATATGCTGATGACTTCCAGATGTTTATCTTCAGCCCAGATTTCTCTCCTAAAAGCCTACCCAATAAATCTACTTGGATCATAATCAAAATCTCAAATCTAACAAGTTCAAAATAAAATTTTTTATCTTCCCCAAACCTTCTATGTTTGCAGTCATTCCTATTTCAGTGGATGACAAATCAGTCCTTCCAGCTGCTTAACAGAAAACCTTGTAGCAATCCTTGATTCTCTTTTTCTCTTATACCTCATGTCTAATTTCCAGGAAAACCTATTGGTCCTATCTGCAGAATGCACCCAAATTCTATCAGTTCCCTCCACATCCACTGCTACCACCCTTATTCATACCAATATAATATTTCACCTAAATTATTGCAATAGCCTCCTTTCTGGTCTTCCTGCCTTACTTCAAGCTCTCCAGTGCTTTCTCATCTCACTCAGAGTAAGAACCTAATGACTTTACAAAGGGCTACAGGACTTACCCAATTTGTTCTCCCTATCTGCCCTCCTTTCCCCTCCTTTTCTATTTTATCTCCCCCTCCCCAAGTCACACTGGTCTCCTTGATGTTCACTGAATACACCAGTCATGAATCCACCATTGTTCTTGTGCCTGGACCACATTCCCCTAAATATCTTTGTGCTTCACTACCTCATCTTCTCCAAGTCTTTGACACTCTGACGACAATTCACACTCCCCATCTGCCTGCTCTGCAGTTGAACTTGACACTTTCTCCAGTAGAACTTGTCACTTTCTAATATACTATTCTTGCTGATGTTGTTGTTGTTAATTACCATCTAGGCAATTCCAATTTGTTTTGTTTACTTTCTGTTATTCCCAACTAAGATGCTGGATGGAGGCAGGGAATTTGTTCTGGTTTGGTCATTACTGTATCCCCAGCATCTAGAACAGTGCTTGGCATTTATAATAGATCTCTCAATTAATATGTGTTGATAGATTGAACAGACCCTGGAAGACAGCTCCAACTTGGAAAGGAAATTTTGGGTCAGGCAAAGGGGTGGGGAAAAAAAAAATAATAGAAGTTTGGTGGTAAGAGGTGTGAGAAGACAACAGGGCTGCCAGGAGTAGAAAGAGATAGAGACAGAAGAAGTCCTAGAGAAGAGTTGAAGCCCAGATGGGTGTTCTGAGAGGGTTTAAGGAATAGGCAGAGGCAAGAATTGAGATTGGTGGGGCCAAGGAATGAAGTGGGGTTCCCACAGAGTGCTGGAGGAGGCATAGGAATTTGGGAAGAAGGCTCTGTTGAGGCAGATATGATGACCAGTTTGCACACTACCCATTAGAAAACAATGGATTAGGAGATTGTAGCAGTTTTCCAGCGACTGTCACATAGTCGACAAAATGGGTTGGATACATGAATGAGCATGGAACTCTGAAACTGGGTAGCTGAAGTAGGAAAGCACAGGAAGGGGAAATTTAGTTTTCTCTGGTGAGGACTCAGTGACTGGATAAGAGAACTGAGAAAAGAGTGCTTCGCATACCCAGATGAGCAGAATATGATCTGTTCGTCGAGTAGACTTGAAACGCAGGGAGACTGTGACAGGGGAGAGGCTGAGGGATGTGCGAATGGATGGGTCAAGGTGGGGGTCTATTACAGGAACCGCAGAGGGCGTGGGGGTCAGGGAGGAAGGAAACGCCCTGTGTCAAGGTTCCGAGGCACGCTGTCTATCCCCGAGATCCGGCGGCCTGGGGTCTGCCGCGGCGGCTGTGGTAAGAGTGGGGGACTCAGCGACTGCGTCGCTCTCGAGTATACGCTACACAGATGTTCTTTGAAAACCAAGTGCGCGTCGGGAGCCAAGAAGTACGAATATCAGACTAGGAGAGTGAAGATTGCCATCAATCCCAAGAAGCGCGCACTCACAGCCCTTTCCAGCCTCGCAGCACCGCGGCGGCCCCGCTCACCAGCCAATCAAACGGCGGCGCCAGTCTCCCAGCCCCCGGAGGCCCCGCCCTCGGGCCGACGCGCAGTCAGCCAATAGGAAACAGATTGCAGGCCCCCCAATGCGCGTAGCCCGCGCTGAGCCGGCTCAGAGAGCGAGAAAAGCGAATCCAACCCGTTCGGGCCGCTGCTCCGGACTCGCCAGCCGCCGCCGCTGTGCGCCCGCCGGCCAACCGCCGCCTCCTCCCCCCCGGATCGGGTGTACTGTCCCAACCCGAAAGTCCAGTTCTGCGGCCCGGCAGCGGCGAGCGAGCGAAATGACACAGGAATACGACAAGTGAGTGAGGGAGCCTCTACAGGAGTTCGGCCGGCCGGGCCGAGGGGCGAGGCTGAGAACCTACCCCGGCCAGACCCTAAGCCGCCGCGGCCCGCCGCCTGGCCGGCACCTGCCGGAGACTAGGGGGCGGCGCTCGCGCCTCGGGATGGCGCCGCCGGCTCCCCGCCGCGGGGTCGGGGCCGGTGCGGGCGCGGCAGGTGCCGGCGGGGCCCGGGTCATCGGCGCCGGCGGTGCGGGGGGTCGAGAGGTGGGAGGCGTCTCGCCTTTTCATTTTCTTTCCTACTGCCTTCTGCTCCCTCACCCCTTCCCGACCTCTTTGTTTCATTGAAACAGCTTCTGAAGAGACTTTGGGAAACTCGACACCTGAAAGGAGTTCTTCCTCCTCCTCCAACTTTTCCTTCTTCGCTTCCCCTCCTCCTCTGTCTCTAAACGCCAGGCGGACTACAGTCTGCAGCAGCCGCGGCGTTTCCCGCGCCGTCCCCTCCCCGGCCGAGCAGCCCTCGGGTCGACCCTGGAGGGGACGCACCCCCAGTTTTCTGTTACTCTTCAGCGACCAGCGGGTCCGTGGAGGAGAGATTTGGGGTGCTCTGGCTCTGGTTCTAGCTCGCTGCAATCTTGATAGCTATGAACGCCCTCATTTCCATGCCCCTCCTTTGAGTCTCTTGCTCAGTCGAACTATGAATTTCCTTACGACCCACTCTACACCTGGAAAGGTAGACTTCTTCAGGTAACTGTGGTCGCTAAACGATGTCTTTAATTTGGCAGACCTGATAGAGCCTTCAGAAAATAGAAATCTAGGGGAAGGTTGAGGTGCGCTTGTGTCCCGGAATTGCCTTTTCACTGACTGTGTGAACGAGAAAATTGCTGTAGGAGTTATTTTGCCACTTGCATCATTGATGGTAATTACAGATTACCGTGTTTTTAATGCATTGAAATATCAAGAGGATGAAACTTCTAAATCAGGGCAATAAACTAGAAAGTACTGTGCTTTCAAAAATACCTTTCAGAATGACTTTGTAATGAAAAAATATTTTGACAAATGCACCGTGAGGTAATTCTTACATCCAAGATGTTAACATTAGGATAAATTGGGCGAGGGATATTCTGTAATTCCTTAGTAGCTTCTTTTCTGTACATGTAAAATTATTACAAAATTTTAAGACTTTTAAAGTAATTTGGATCAAACCAATGAGTATATTTTAATAAGTATTTTTCAACGATCATTTTACTTACAGTGTGTTCTTGTGGATTAGAAGATTAGACATTATGTATGGAATGTTTTAAATAGATGATTTTTGCGTTGTAGAATCTGAAGTTAAGTGATCATCTGGAAAACGCTTTTGAGAAATGATTGTTGAAGGACTAAAAACTCTTTAACCTGAAGGTGGTGATCAGCCTCTAGGGTCTAATAGCAGCCAGACCCTCTTAAGAGGAAATGAGAAAGGCAACCGGGTTTTTGTTTATTTCTTGGTTTTAAATTTAGGTTGGATAAAATTTCCAAAGCTAAAAATTTGGCTTTAGGCACACTTTCAAAATATCAAGTACCTCCAGGATGATTAGCCAAAAAAAAAAGTTTATTTTCTGGGATGTGGCGCTATGGGTTAATGAGCCAGACTGAAAAGCCTTTGAACTGCACGGTTTGCGGTTCAAGCTCACCAGCTGCTCTTTGGAAACTCTATACTGGGTCACTGTGGATCAGAACCGACTCGATGGCACTTGACAACAATAACATAAATTTTGGATGGGGGAGGGAGAAGAGAAGCTGGAAAACTAGCATTACGAGAAGTGAATGAGCCAAGTGCTGTCATAATCTTTTGGAAGTAGCTATTACACTATTAATAATACCTTAGCAGTATACCAGTAAATCACCCAAGGTACCACTGGTTCAGTAGCTACTATACTCTGGTCATGATGCCTCAGGAACTGGCCCCTTTTTATATTTTTCTGTTTTTCCACTTTTAAACAAGCTGTCTACTTTGAACAACTCATGTTGTTTGTTTTGTGTTAAAATTGTACACCACCTCCATACTTCTTTCCTCATCAAATTTAAGCTTCTAGGACTTTGTGCCTAGACATGAGTAAAAATTGTCATTAAAATAATACTGAGGATAAATTGTTGGATTTACCCCCACTCCCTTTCCAAAGGTGTTCTTTTTCTAAATCAGTATCTGTTTTTAAAAGGACTGGGTGACTGCCAAACCCTAACCTTAGTTGATTACTTGAAAAGATAATCAATCTTTCCACATTCACTTTTAGAGTAGGTAGGTCACCTTTAGGCCATTTACATACTTCATTTGTGTGATGCAATGAGAAGTGATCTTTAAACTTACTAGTTAGAATAGTGATAGTCCTGAATATTTAAAACGTAGTATTTTTCTTTCCTTTTAAAAGCAGCTTCATTTTGCTCTAGTTGGTGTTCTGCTCGTGTGTTTACTGACTTATTAAATAGTACCAACTGAACAGTTGTTGAGACTGTTTGCATTTCAACTTTTTGGAATCAGTAATGTTTGCTTTAATCTTTTAAATGAAATCTTCTTTAAGGCTAAGTTTTCAGTTGATTTCTCTGGATAACCTCCCCTCTTCCCCCCCGACTCCCCCCACACCAAATTACAGTGTGGAAAACTTACTAGTAAAGATTTTTTAAAATATGTTTTCCTGCTTTTTTTTAAAACTTTTTGTTTAGTGGCTTCATTTATTGATGCAGATTCTTAAGTGTTTATCTCTAAGATAAAACCAGTTAACTCCCTTGCCAGAAAATTGTGCCTCTTTATTGATTTAGTACAGTCAGTCCCCTTTGGCTACATTCCGAGCTCAATCTGCTGGTAATCAGTAGAATATTTTGACTTTCTCATATACCCCCAAGGATTAAACGAAATATCCCTTTTTCTTTCCACCTCCTCCTCCCCTTCCCCCCTTTGAGGTAGGAAATGTTTTAAGACATGAGCATCAACAAACAGAAAGAGGGAAATAACATGTAGCAGCATGGTGACTGAACCATATATTGGCTCTTTAAGAGGGAACAGTCCGGAAGACAGTAAATGTTCTGTTTTGCCTTACCATGTATGGGTGTTTGTTTAGACTAGCATTATCTTAGAGTTTTTTGTTGTTGTTTTTTTGTTTTTGCCAAGTATATGCTGGTTTCATGTGTAGTTAGTTAACTGTAGGTTCCCCGACTGACTAAGCTTACCTTATATCTTACTGGGTGGCCCATTGACCTGCATTTAAGTATGCTGTCTTCTGGTCTTGTCTTCATTTGATTTACTAGAATCATTGATTCTTTATAGTAGAAATGTCTTTAAAAACCCCATTGCTGTCAAATGGATTCCAACTTATAGCGACCCTATAGGACAGAATAGAATTGCCCAACTATGGTTTCCAAGGCTTTGAATCCTTACTAAAGCCCCATCTTTCTCCTGTCAGGGTGGGTTCGCCCACGCACCTTTTGATTAGCAGCTGAGCACTTAAATGTGACGCCACCAGAACTCCTTAGAAATGTGTTATAATGTGAGCATTTTTGTTCTTAATTTCTCTAAAGCAAACGGCCAGTGTTGGTTCTTCAGAATGAAGCCCTTTATCAACAGCGTCGCTCCTATACTAGTGAGGATGAAGCCTGGAAATCTTTCCTGGAAAACCCTCTCACTGCAGCAACCAAAGCGATGATGAGCATCAACGGAGATGAAGACAGTGCAGCTGCTCTGGGCTTGCTCTATGACTATTATAAGGTAGTTTTGCCTACTCTTTAAAAACCCTTAACAGCAGTCCAAGATGCACTTGATTCCACAACATATAAAACAGTAATTTGCTGGTAGAATGTAATGTAGTTGCCTCTGTAGTGGCTATAAATAGCTTAATGAGTACTTTGACTTAATGTGGTTCAAAGCTGAAAATCTACGGATCATAGAATCAAAGGGTTGTTTTTAAAACTTGTGAAGTAGCCAGCTGTTCCGGCTCTATCTGAAAGGTGAAGCTGCTATCAAAGAGGATGGTAAAAATCAAATCCTTTGCCATCCAGCCAGTTGCAATTCTTAGCAAGTCTATAGGGCAGAGTAGAACTGTGACCCATGGAGTTTCCAAGACTAATTTTTCTGGAAGCTGACTTCTTTCAGTTAGCAGCCAAGCACTTGACCACTGTACCACCAGAGCCCCTTCAGAGGATAGTTGTTGTTGTTGTTAAGTGCCGTTGAGTCGGTTCCGACCCATAGCGACCCTGTATAGGGTTTCCTTGGAGCAGCTGGTGAACTTGAACCACCAACCCTGAAGTTCAAACGGCTTTGCAGTCTGGCGCATTAACCCACAGCGCCACACCAGGACTCCTCAGAGGATAGTAGAGTACCTAAATTGTTATTGAACATTCTACTAAAAGTAGTTCTTATTGCTATGAAGAGTGGACCATGGTTAACTGACATGTATTCTAACCCTGATTCTTATGTTTTCAAAATGATTTCCTAAATTATACTAGGGTTTTTATTTGATTTGGTTGTTAGATTCATAAGAAAATTTTATTTTCTACTCTTGAACTTTCTAGTTATGAGATGTCAAGATATATTTTATAGACTGTTTTTAGAAGTTTTTATTAGTCTTGTTGTTAAGTGCCATCGAGTCGATTCTGACCCATAGCGACCCTGTATAGGGTTTCCAAGGAGCAGCTGGTGAGTTTGAACCACCGACTTTGAAGTTCTAGTCATAATGAAATATAATTTGTTCTCTGAATGGATTTTTATACATGGTTTTCATATCTGGAATTATACCACAGGCACACCTCATTTTATTGTGCTTTGCAGACACTGCATTTTTTTACATATTGAAGGTTTGTGGCAACCTTGCACTAAGCGAGTCTTATCAGCCCTGTGTTGTCTAATAGCATATGCTCACTTCATGTCTATGTGTCACATTTTGGTAATTCTTAAAACATTTCAGACTATTTCGTTATGCTATTGCACACTTACTAAACTACAATATAGTATACACATAGCTGTTATATACTGGGAAACCAAAAAACTTATGTGACTTGCTGTGTTGTGATACTCACTTTATTACGATAGTCTGAAATGAAACCTACAATATCTCTGAAATATGTTTGTGCTGATTGATCTCATCATCACCATTGTGTTGATAATAGCCCCTACTTACTGGTTGTGAATATAAGCTAGACACAGTACCAGAATATACATTATTTCTACACCCTCCAGAATCTCTGCAAAATACATGGTGTTAACTCTATATTTTGCAGATGAGAAGAAATTCTCAGGTCAAACAACTAGTATGTGTTGCAGCCAGGATTTCAGCCCTTTTCTGGTTTATGCCTTAGTACACTCTCTTTTCAGTAAAACATGCAACCTTCTGTAGAACTTTGCTTAGCTTGTACTCATTTTAGCATTCTGTCTAACCAATAACAGATATTTGGGTATGGATGTTAAGAGTTTGTGTGGCATTGTGGGTTAATGTACTGGATTGCAAGGTCAGCAGTTCAAGCTCACCAGCTGCTCCTCAGAAACCCTGTATAGGTTCACTATGAGTCAGAACTGACTTGACGGCACTTAACAACAACACAGCAATTAAGAGTTTTGGTGTGGCACTGCAGGATAATGCACTAGACTGCAAGGTCAGTTTGAACCACAAGGTCGGCAATTCAGATCCACCAGTCGCTCCTTGGAAACCTTATACAGGGTTGCTGTGGGTTGGAAACAACTCAAAGCCACGCAGCAACAACAACAACTAAGAGTTTGGGAGTGTCTCCATAGGATAATCACTGGACTGTGAACCACAAGGTCTGAGGTTTGAGCCCAAGTGCCTGCTCCATGGGAGAAAGATGAGGTTTTCTGCTCCCACAAAGATTTACAGCCTCGGAAACCCTATTCAGGGTCACTATAAGTCAGAATTGATTTGACTACACTAAACAGCAACATCAGTGGATAGTTTAGGATACTGTTTAAAACAATAGACTGAGTTGAGGCACAGCTTTGCCATATGACCTTTGTTTCATTATTACGATATTTAACTACTGTAACTAATCATTGTCACCACAGCCTTTATAAAGACAGGAAAATTTTCAGTGTTCCCAGAAGCAATGGGAAACTGTGGGGCAAAGCTTCTTAATAACGTTGTTAAGTGCCATTGAGTTGATTGTGACTCATAGCAACCCTGTATAGGGTTTCCAAGGAGCAGCTAGTGGACCTGAGCCGCCAACCTTGTGGTGCTGTAGGATAAGTCCAGTGCTTCTCCTAAAGCACCACACGAGGACTTAATGATAGTGTCTCCTTATGCGTATGTGTGTATGTCTGTCTATATATGTTATAGTTTATTTTTGCCATCTTTTTTATTTGAAAATGTTCAGACCTACAGAGAAGTTGAAACAATAGGATAATTAATTCCTGTATGCGTTCACCTAGATTCACCGGTTGCTTGCTTTTTTATTATATTTTGGAAGTGTATTCTTAAAACAAGAAATGTAGAAGGAAGAAAAAAAAAAAAAAGAAGATAGTTAGATTATCACAATTAGGGTGGGACCTAAGCAAAAGATTTAATCATTTCCTGGTATGAGACCATATGTTCAGTTTGTTGTGTTTGAGGGATTGCAATGATGAGGTGACTTCCCCCCTTTGATTATGAAGGAAAGAAACTTATATAGTAACTAATGATGCTAGAAGAAACCCATGCCTAGGAAATTTAGCCATAAAACTGAGGCATTTGAAGTAGAAGTTGCTGTGTATCTGTTTTTTGTTTTTTAATGGCTTGTTTAATTGACTTAATCAGTATAAAAACCGTAAGTTTGTCAGATATAAACTGTGGATGTTTATAATTTTATCTGAAACTTACGAGAATAGAATAAGTTTGGTGTGAGAAAGACAAATTCAGTAACATAATTATAGTGGTTATTTGTGTTTTTTAAAGAAAGAATCCTAAGAGTAATCTTAAGTTTCATTAGGAAGTAAATCCTCATTCTGTCATTACAGATGATAATTTAAAAAAAATTTTTTTCGTTTTTTTATTGTGGTAAATATCTAGGTGGCAAAATATCTACAGTCTCCATATTTACAGTTAATTGACAATAATTATGTTTTTCATGTTGTTCATCCATCACCATTAACTATTCCTGAATTTTTCCATGTATCTTCACAGAAAAGGGTGATAATTTTAGTAATAATTGTCAGACTTACTGTAGGGTAATTTTCTTTTTTTTTAAATGAACTGAAGATTTTTTCAGTTCTTTGGATATGAGCATTTATTTTGCCTTTAATGGTGAAACATGAAAATAGAAATAGAATTCTCACATTGGAAACTGGTTCAAATGTTCTAGCAGTGTTGGAGGGTGGGAGGGGGCAGTACATGTTGGGATTAAGGCTCAGTTGTATTCATATCTACAAAATACCCACTAACAACGAAGGGCAGAATCAAAAAAGGAATTAAAAAACCTTAGACTTGTCCTTTGGATAATAGAATAACTACCTTTGGGTAATTTGAATCCCAAAGCAGCTAAAGAAATTTATCATATGAAGACCAGCATTTGGATATTGGAAATAAAGTAATGCAGCTGTTCCCTTTGATTCTGCATTTGATCAGAAAGGAAGGGTATTAGAGAACAGTGAGAAGTTACAGACTCCAATTGTGCTTGCAGCAGCAGCTTCTCTATTACATGATGAATGAACAAAACCAGACCAGAGGTATTTCTTTTAGGAGCTGAACCCCAAACATTAATGATCAAGTACATTTTGATGTTCCTAGTGTACGTGGCAACTCAGTAGCAGTTGGTTTTCACTATCAAGTTGGTGGTCAAATTGTAAACTCCCAAGAGTATACTCTGCTTGCTCATTGTTCTATCTCCACAGCCTGGTGTATTATAGGCAATTCAGTAGATGTTTATGGACCAAATAAATGAATGATTGAATATATTGAAAAGTAAAAGACTGTGTTTTGGGATGAACTGTATACCTCACTGAGTAAGCACTTAGTTATATTATATTCATGTGTTTTAATTTATAAGGTTCCAAGAGAGAGAAGATCATCCACAGCAAAGCCTGATGTTGAGCACCCAGAGCCAGATCATAGCAAAAGGTAACATTAAATATACAACATCATAAATTAGTACACTTTAAAAAATGCCACGTACCTGTGGAAATGAAGTTGAAGCTTGCTTAAATGAATAAGCACTAGTGAAAGAGATAGGTAAGTTGGACCCTTAACATCTACGTTCACATCATTACTGATTTGGCTTTTGCCCTGAGAAGTACCCATTTCTTTAGGTATAATTTTCGTCTTTTCTAGAAAACCAAAGCAGTAACTTTCTTTTCCAAAGAGATGTTTTCAGTATTAAGTGAAGTGTTTACTTGTTTTTAAAGTCCTCTTAAAAGAGATATGGCTTAAAGGCAGAGGTGGGAATCTACTCAAAAAAAAAAAAAAAATTTAAGTACCAATGACTCTTGAATAACTTTCTAAGTAAAAATTAATGAAGCAAATTAAGTTGCAGTTCAGGCTCCTGTTGAAATTATTTTTGAAATATGTTGGGATGAAACTAAGAAAATTAAAGCTTGACACTTTGTAGTCATAAAAAACCATTTAAATCCATGGTTTAAATTGCTGTGTGTTTTATTAATAATAAAGGAATAAAAAAATTTTCAAGAGTGATCATTCAGAATCCCACTGGGGTTGCTGGATTTTGATATGCATATAAATTTTGTGTGGTTGTATTCATAGATAGGATTTGATATTATGGTTTCTTTTGCTTCCTAATTTCATAAGTATCTTCCATGTTGCTGTTTTCATCTTCATTAAAACATAAAATCATTTCCTTTGTTGTTGTTGTTAGGTGCCATCAAGTCAGTACTGACTCATAGTGACCCTATGCACAACAGAACGTTACACTGCCCGACCCTGGGCCAACCTCACAGTTGTTTCCACGCTTGAGCCCATTGATGCTGCCACTTTCCCAATCTATCTCCCTGGGGGTCTTCCTCTTTTTCTCTGACCCTCCACCTTACTAAACCTGATATCCTTCTCCGGCGACTGCTCCTTCCTGACAATATGTCTGAAGTTTGGCTATTTCCTTTGGGGAAGGGCTTATGTCTTTTATTTTTTACTGTTTATTATAGATATATTAAGATTTATAAAAATAAGAGAAATGGTATAAGAGAAATAATATATGACCATAGATATCCAGCACCAGCTCCATCAATTATTAACAAACATAATGATTACTGTTTTGCCTTTTCCTCACTCTTACTGAAATTTTAAATTAGTTTTTTTAAATTTCATTTATTTTTGCACAAGTAATTTAAAGCAAAATGTAGGTGTCTTTTTCACATGATTTTTCTATCATTGTACATTGAAGCTATATTTTGTTTTTCACTAGTACAAATCTTTAGAAAGTTACATTGCTTTTTTCCTTTTCTTTAGGATGAATTTATAGGCGTGAATATAAAGACTTGGGTTTGAACACGTTTATTAGTCTTGAAATATGCAGTACTACCCAGTTGCTTTATTCATTAAACTTTGCAGTTTATGTGATTTGAGGGACCTTTAAAAATGGATTGATTTTTACCTATTAGAAATCACCTTATATTGCTCAGAATATTTATTAAACCAAAAATAACTTTATGTAAGTATGTGTACTAGTATAGTGTGTTTATAAGGTGCTCTGGTAGCGTAGTGGTTACGAATCGGGTTGCGAACCTCAGGGTCAGCAGTTCGAAACTACCAGGTGTTCTGCGTGAGAAAGATGAGGCTTTCTGCTCCGGTAAAGATTTATAGCCTTGGAAGCCCTTTACAGGGTTGCTGTGAGTCAGAACCGACGCCATTGGCACATAACAACAACAACAGTGTATTTATACATTTTCTTGTGGTGCAATTGAAAGGCAAATAAGTTTAAGTAGTAGGAACAATGGAGGCCAAATTGTATTGGCTCATATTCTTGTATGACAAGCATTATTATAAACACACAAGTGTATCATCCCATGTAATACTTGTAACAACAGTGTAGGTTGTTGTTAAGTTAAGGCTGTAAATCTTTACAGGAGCAAAAAGCCTCATCTTTCTCCCACGGAGCAGCTGGTAGTTTCGAACTGCTGACCTTGCGGTTGGCAGCTCGGCTCATAACCATACCAGAGCTCCTTTGTAGGTAAATTTACCTACTTTGTAGGTAAATACCATTATTATCCCCATTTTCTAGGTGAGGATTTGGTTACTGAGAGAGAAAGTAACTTGCTCAAGGTCACAGAGCATTTGACACTAGGCAGTGTGACTGTTGAGTCTACACTGTCACCACTATTCTATGCTGCTACAAGTAATGCCTATTACAGCTTTAGGCTTCTCATAAAATTGGTATAGTTGTGAGGTGACGTTGAGTTGGTTCTGACTTATAACAACCTTGTATAGGGTGTCCGAGGAGCATCTGGTGGGTTTGAACCCCACTGACCTTGTGGTTCTAAGTTAAATGCTTATTCTACAGCACCAAAGTGTGACTCCAAAATTGCTGTTAAGAGTATTCAAAATAAAGGATAACAGAAGGTTCCTCTGAGTCCTCAGCATTTCAAATGAAATTTTACTTACATTTTGAATTTTATTTGATCTGTAACTATGTAGTCTGTTTTCCCCCCTCTACTATGGTTTATTGAGCCTTGGTGTGGCATTGTAGACTAAGCACTGTATTGGTAACTACAAGGTCAGAAGTTCAAACCCACCAGCTGCTTGGACAACCTCATATAGGGTCACTAAGAGTTGGGAACCCCATGTAGGGTTACTGTATTGTTAATACGTATGTCCCAATAGCCCAGTGCCATTCAGAAAATAAAAAATTGCCAAAGAGCTGTATCATTATCAAGTTTGAAACACAATTTTCTTTTCTTTTCTTAAAGAAACAGCATACCAAATGTGACTGAACAGCCTCTCATTTCCGCTGGAGAAAACAGAGTACTGAAAAATGTGCCATTTAACATTGTCCTTCCCCATGGCAACCAACTGAGCATTGATAAGAGAGGCCATCTAACAGCTCCTGATACGACAGTCACTGTCTCCATAGCAACAATGCCTACCCACTCCATCAAGACAGAAACCCAGCCACATGGCTTTGCTGTGGGAATCCCTCCAGCAGTGTATCATCCAGAGCCCACTGAACGTGTGGTAGTTTTTGACCGGAACCTTAATACTGACCAGTTCAGTTCTGGTGCTCAACCCCCAAATGCTCAAAGGCGAACTCCAGACTCCACCTTCTCAGAGACCTTCAAGGAAGGCGTTCAGGAGGTACAGGAAACAAAAGCATCTTCCTAAGATGGCTGTGTGTTTGTATAAGTATTGGGTTCCACTGTTTCCTTGTTATGTAAGCTTGAAACTCAGCCTGAAATGAGTGGATTAGGAATAAAAGTTTTGTGTTTTTTTTTTTTTAAAAGAGAAAAGGCCCATGGGTATAATTTGTAAACTAAACCTTATAAAACCAGAAATTATTATCAAGGGCACATGGCTAATCTTACCAGCAGCTGAGTTAACAATTATGATTTCACTTAAGTGATTTGCTGGAGGAAAAGAAAGAGAACCCCATATATAACCTTTCTTTGACAGCAGATCTGTTTGCAGTTGTCGGTTTTATTCAAGTTTTGCCCTAGACCAAAACAAATTCCCTGCAATTGGTTGTAATATAAAATGTTTGATCATTCAAAATGTCATTAAGGTTTTGGTTGAAGATTCTAGAATTTGAACAGAATGGATTTTGTGGGTAGGATAAGAAAAGGGAATAATGAATCACAAGGGCTTCATGGGAGTCCCTAAATAAATTGTCTTAATTGACTACAATAATAGGTGAAAATGGAGGTTTTCCTGGTTTTTTATTTTATTTGTATTTTTTGTTGTTCATATTAAACTTTTTTAAAGTTTTTAAGTGTGGTAGCTCTACCAGATGACCACATGGTCAGTATTTTGAGCTCACCAGCTGATCCTCGGGAGAAAGATGAGTCTTTCTGCTCCTACATTGATTTAAAGCTTCGAAAACCCTATGCAGGGTTGCCATGAGCCAAAACCTACTTAATGGCACTTAACAACAGCAACAAAAGTTTATCAGTTCTTTGAATTATTGCACTTGCTTTTTTATAGATATTGCATTTTTACTTTAAAATGAATATTGAAAGGGTAGTGGGTTGCTGTAAGCCACATACTTTTTTGCAATAGCAGACCTTGGTCTATAGTAACCATGATAACCAGTTAAATAGTTGTGGCTTATTACATTGATATTTCAGGTTTTCTTCCCCTCGGATCTCAGTCTGCGGATGCCTGGCATGAATTCAGAGGACTATGTTTTTGACAGTGTTTCTGGGTAATAGTTGTCTTTTAATTTGATTTTCAATTTCAGCTTTTATGACATTTCTTTTTTGTTGATTTGATATTGACAAATCAGAGGTGGCTTTTAGTGGGCTTTTGTCTTTTGTCTTACTACATTTACTATGGAAATACCTTTGGTAGAGGACTTTTGCTTCAGTGCATTTCATTTTGAACTCTGAACTATGCTTCATGTTTCCTTAATTCTTGGTGTTGGTGCTTTTCCTTCTCTTTGGTTTCTCTATGTGATGGTAGTAGACGAAAATCTAAAAGTAGAGATGAGGGTATTAGATTTCTCAAGTTCCTTCTATTTCAGAAGTCTAGTTCTGTGAGAAGTTTGGAACAAAAGCTGTTAATTTTTTATTAATCTCACTAGTAATAAATGAAGTCAATCTTTTTCTGATTTAACAGCCTTTTGTTTTTAACCTCACAGAATTACATCTCTGGGAATATGAGTATTTTCAGCTAATTAGGAACAATACCTTCAGCTTTATTTTAAAGTCTAGAATTTCATTGTATAATTTTGTTTCATGCATTTCTATATGTGTCTTGTATTTTGCAATAAAAAAAGTATTTGTTTTTTAAGTCTAGGGTTTATGGAAGTTGAGACATTCCGTAGAGACTTGCCTCAAATACAGGAGTCACAAACTCGTGCCTTTAGGATTGAGGATAGGATAGGATTGACAGAGTTTTTCTTTTAAAGGTCAGATAGCAAATATTTTTGGCTTTGTGAACTATGCAGTGTGTCGTATCTACTCATTCCTGCTGTTGTGCAGAAGCTGCTGTAAACAATGCACCAACGAATAATGAGTGTGGTGATATTTCAGTAAAATGTTTATTTGCAAAGCAGGTATAGTTTGCTGACCCCTGGTCTAGGAAAGTTATTAAATAATTTTAGAGGCTTTATTAAACCAATCACATTTAGCCATAGATCCACCAGTTAACCTGTTTGTAACCTCTGCTAGGTATATATTAGGTGGTATATATACAGTACCATATAGGTATACGTTAGATGTCTTGTGAAGGTTCCTTACAGTGTCTTATTTGCTAATTAGTATCTTTAATATATTTAACTTCCAAATGTATGATTTTAAGCATCATCATAGAATTTATGTATGGTAGGCATTTCATAAATTCAATGATGAGGTGTGGAAATTTTCAGGTTGCTAGTACTTTTGTTTATATTTATTAATTAAGATTATATTTAACATGAAAAAGGTAGCAAAATGCTATTTATAGTATGACCTGGTCAATTGGATTTTTCCTGGTAGTTTGCTGTCTTAGTATATCTACACTGAAGCATTTTAAGATTGAACTAAAATATATAGAACGCTTTTAAGACAATGGATTGGAGATTTCTGACTTTTGTCCTACAGGAACAACTTTGAATATACCCTAGAAGCTTCCAAATCACTTCGGCAGAAGCCAGGAGATAGCACTATGACATACTTGAACAAAGGCCAGTTCTATCCTATCACCTTAAAGGAAGTAAGCAGCAATGAAGGGATCCACCACCCTATCAGCAAAGTTCGTGTAAGTTCTGCTCTTAGTTATGTTATTTAATAGTTAGAGATTAATACTTTCATATCTAAATGAAGGTCTAAATTGCCATGTTAAGTGTTAACTAGGTAAGTTTTCCAAAGCATGCTCACCCTTTAGTGTCTTTATGTTGTAATGTATTCTCTTTCATAGAGTGTGATTATGGTAGTATTTGCTGAAGACAAAAGCAGAGAAGATCAGTTAAGGCATTGGAAATACTGGCACTCTCGGCAGCACACTGCTAAACAAAGATGCATTGACATAGGTAAGTAGCTCAGGAGCCTGCTTTTATTCCCAGAGGTGCAAGCCTCCAGTTTTTTAAATCCAGTTATTTTTGGCACTGATCAGCTTCCTGCCGAAAGCATTTGAATTTTTATGCCAGTTACTGATCTGTTCCAAATACTGTTCTTGGCCTCCCGGAATTAGTGCTGTTTTGCCATTACTTCCTTGCCCATTGAGTAGGTTTCCATATAACACCTGGGCCAGAAGCTATGTAGCCAGCTAACTTGAGTGCCTCCTCTTTGTAGACTGAATTCTTTGAGAAGTGATGTCTTTTAAAGATACTCTGATTATTTGAAGATGATTAAAAGGTGGAAAAAACAAATCCACAAATGAAAGAAAGTAATGCTGATGTGTAGTTGCATAATAATCATCCCTCATTCTATGCTAAACTACATACTAGTCTCTTATATCTGTAAATAGATTCAGGGTTATCATTTGGGGTATAATATAGCAAACCTATGCAAAGTCGTATTTATTGAAGCAGTTTTGCAAAGATGTCAGTTCTTGTTATGTATATAGTTTTCATATAAAACCATCATCTATAGCATGCTTAATTATAGTGTTGCTTTTTTCCCTTTAGCCTTTGTAATGCTAATACTATCTTATAGAAGACCTAGAATAGTTTTAATCTTAGTTTTGTGAACTATTTTGTGACCTCGAGATAATTATTTAACTCTTTGAACAAAATTTCCTAATTTTGACAAAATAAGATTGAATTCAATATCTCTAAGCTTACCTCTGTTGCAAAAATTCTGTTTCTTTTCCCCTCATTTTTTGGAACTCCTTTCAACACAACAAAATATTAAATTATCCAGTGGTAGCAATATTGAAAGTGACTCTTATATTGAATTGCTATAGTCTCATTTTGAAACTGGAAATCACAATTTTTTTTTTTTGTTTTAATCACTTCCCTCACAGCTGACTATAAAGAAAGCTTCAATACCATCAGTAACATTGAAGAGATTGCTTATAATGCCATTTCTTTCACTTGGGACATTAATGATGAAGCAAAGGTAGGCAAATTAAAGTCCACAGGGGTTCCTATATTTTCTGCTGTTTGAGAAGTGGGAAGACCTTAATGATTTGACAACTGATGTGCTACATTTTTACATGTTATCACTCCTGTGCAAAGGAACAGGGAGAGTAAAGTGAGAAGATACAGCTCACAAGTCACAAAGTGTTTGAAGTAAGAAAGGACTCTGGGAGAAGAAATAGCTATTATCTCATCAGCTTTTTTATCTCTGCCACCTGGATTCTTTCTCTCTTTTCATTATTTTAAACATTTTTTGAAAGTAAAATTGTTCTGACACACCATCCTTCTCTCTTTTCTATACTCTTCTTCATCTAAAAAGATGTTTTTTCTTGACAAACTTCAACAGATGTAGTCCAGTATGAAAAACAACAGAGTGAAAATCAAAGCTGTTGAGTTGTAGTCTGCCACGATCAGTTTGCCTCTGAATCTGTGACTCCATTCATTTTGCTTTCATTTCTGAGGTAAAAATAGTGCCGCTATAATGGTAATACCACAGTGGATGGCTTTGTTGTTGTTGTTAAGTGCCGTTGTGTTGGTTCCAGCCCATACTGACCCTGTATAGGGATTCCAAGAAGCGGCTGGTGAACTTGAACCACTGACCTTGAGGGTCAAACTGACTTTGCAGTCTAGTGCATTAACCCATAGTGCCACGCCAGGACTCCAAAAAAGTGGATGGTTTTAACAACCAGAAATTTACTGTATTGCAGCTTGTTGTTGTTGTTAGGTGCCATTGAGTCGGTACCGACCCATAGCGACCTTATGCACAGTAAAACGAAACACTGCCTGATGCTGGGCCAGCCTCACTACTGTTGCTAACGCTTGAGTCCATCGATGCTGCCACTTGGCCAGTCTATCCCATTGGAGGTCTTCCTCTTTTTCTCTGACCCTCCACCTTACCATACATGGTATCTTTCTCCAGCGACTGTCCGAAGTATGAGAGACAAAGTTTAGGAGACTAGAATTTGAATTCAGAGCCTCAGTTCCAGAGGAAGACTTTCTTTCTCAATTGGCTTTGGGCGAAGGTCTTTGTCACTTTTCAAAATCTGTGGACCTGCTGTTCCTTAGAGATCTCCCTGTGACTTGGCACCAATTTCTTCTGGGTCTAAGAAGTTCTCAGTGAGGAACACGCTCTGCTCCTGGCTCTCTTTTCTTGATTATAGTAGAGGTTCCTCAATCTCTGCTTGTTTAATCTCTTTTGTATCTCAAAAGAAATTGACTTAATATGCAACCTAATCTTGTAGATTGGAATTCTGGTATGGCCCTGTAATAAACAGTGGACTGCTATCTGTAAGGGTGATGGTTCAGATCCACCAGTTGCTCTTCGAAAACCCTATACAAGGTTCCTATGAGTTGGAACCAACTCGGTGGCACTTAACAACAATAATCCTGTAGATTATATCCTACTTAATTAGCATAACTGCCTCTAATCCTGCCTCATTAAGATCATAAATTACAATTATAACTCACAGGATAATTACATCAGATCACAAAATGGAGGGTAATTGCATAATACTGACAATCATGGCCAAGTTGACACATTTTGAGGGGGGCACAAATTCAGTTCGTAACAATTCCTATGTCCTCTATCTGTTCATGAATGTTGTAAGAATTATTGAGGCATTGCCTAGAAAACTGTTTGAGTTTCTTGGAGACAGACCTTAAATACAAGTTATCATTAGCAGCACTTTATTTTCTGTCATTACCTTGCAAATAAGGAGCCTTAATAGTGTAGTAAGTTATGAGTCGGGCTGCTGACTGCAAAGTCAGCTGTTTGAATCTACTAGCATCTGAGGGACATAGATTTACAACCTTAGAAACCCTATACAGGCTCAACTCAGGTTAAGATTCTCCTGTCTTTTACAACTAAAGAATTGCCTTCAATTTAGATGGTCATTTGAATAATTCTATTTCAAATTCTAAATCTAATAAGAATGAGAAAGATAATAATGAAAGCTATAAAACATTGCTGTAAAAGATTAAAGATTTACATAAATTGGAAAGATGTGCCATGTTCATGGATTGAAAGACTTAATATTGTTAATACATTAATATTACCCAAAATGGTCCATATATTCAACACAGTCATGATCAAAATTCTAACAACCCTTCTTTACAGAAATTGAAAAACCAGTCTTCCACTTCATATGAAGACAAGAGGCCTGAAATAGCTAAACCAATGTTGAAAGTTGAATAAAAGGAGGAATACTTAATTTACTTTCTAATTTGAACGCATACTATTCCGCTACCTACAGTAATCAAAGCAGCGTGGTACTCATATAACAGTAGACACGTGTTGTTGTTGTAGTTAAGTGCTGTCGAATCTGTTCTGACTCATAGCGACACTATATAGGTTTGCCGAGGAGCAGCTGGTGAGCTTGAACAGCTGACCTTGTGGTTCAAACCGACTCTGTAGTCCAGTGCATTAATCCACAGTGCCACACTGTGACTCCTTAGATCAGTGGAGTAGAACTGAGAGTCAAAAATAAATCCACACACCTGTTGTCAACTGATTTTTGTGTTGTTTTTTTTTAACTTTTTACTGTGAATTGGGTGAAGGTTTACAGAGTACATCATTAGTTTTACATTCAGCAGTTCATACACATTTTATTTCATCTCATTGATTACAGTCCCCTCAATGTAACATGACTTATCCCACTTCCTCTCTTTGTTTCCTGTTTCATTTCTTCTTTCTTTCCTAACGCTTCTGAACTTTGACCTTGGGTAAAAGTGCCCTTTGATCTCAAATCATTGATTATCCTAGGGTGTGCATATATCTCTAGTGTTATTGTTACACTTGCAGATCTGTCTATTGTTTGGTGCTTAATTGAGCTTATGGGGATGACCCAAAGGGTGATTTGTTGTTGTTGTTAAGTGCCGTCGAGTCGGTTCTGACCCATAGTGACCCTGTACAGGGTTTCCGAGGGTGTAAATCTTTACGGGAGTAGAAAGCCTCATCTTTCTCCCATGGAGCGGCTGGTAGTTTCGAACTGCTGACCTTAAGGTTCGCAGACCGTAATCTGCGGTATTCCACCAGTCTCTTTCCAACCAGTAAGCCTGGTCTCTTTGATGGTATTGAGTTTTGTTCTACATTTTCTCCCATACTATCCAGGACCTTCTAATGTAGTCCCTTTCAGAGCAGTTGGTAGTGGTTTTCATGGTCCATTAATGCACTGGACTGTTGTTTTCCCTGGACTCTTGTTTCCATGGAATCCTGGTGTGGTACTCTAGGATCAGTACTGGTATATGAATCACAAGTTCGGCATTTCCAACCCACCAGCAGCATCTCAGAAACCCTATACAGGATTGCTGTGAGTTGGAACTGACTCCACGGCACTTAACAACAACAACATTGTTTCCATAGTCTTCTTTTGTCCAGACAGGGAGAAACCAATAATTGCACCCTCTATGGCTGCTCATGAACATTTAAGACCTTTGTCACTAAAATAGAATGTAGAACATTATCTTTGTTGATATATATAACTTTGATTTTCATAACTTTGTTCCCATATTTATTATGCTAATTGTCCTTGGTATCCTCTGAGACTATGATCTGAGCCCCGAGGCCCAGCAACTCAATCCCTCGAGGTGTTTGGTTGTGTCTAAGAAGTTTTCATAACTTTGTTCCCATATTTTTTGATGTATCTGCAGAAAAAGATAAATACTCATGTACAAATATCCTCTCTCAAACCTATTTACAGTTGTGGATATAACCCCTTTCTCCCTTCCATAGCTGTTCTGCCTGCATGGCAATTCATATATCTACCCATGTTATTGTTCTTAAGTGCTGAGGAGTCGATTTTGACTCATAGTGACCCTGTATAGGGTTTCCGAGTCTTCACATCTTTTCCAGAGCAGAAAGCCACATGTTTCTCCTCTGGAGCAGCTGGTGGGCTTGAACTGGAGGACTGTGATTCACAGTCCAGTGCTTATTGGATGCAGCAATGGCACTCCCTACCCGTAGATCACCATTGTTGCATGCAGAATTGTGTATATAAGAGAATTTACCTCTGTTGCCTTTAAATAAATACCCAGTGTCTTCCTCTGCTGCCATCATTTGGTTTGTGCTGACCTCCTCTTATTGTATATTGCCTTACCCTTCACCCATGTGACATGTGTATTAACCACATGGTCAGCTGACTGTTTTTTTT